TTTTTTTTCTGGTGTAAAAATGTTTTTGAAAAAAAGTGGAATAGGTGGATTTTATTGGTGATTGGAATAAGATTTGTTTTTCTTTTTTCTTTCGTCAATTTGGTTTTGATTGTTTTTTTTTCTCTGTTTTCTTTTCTTTCCTTCCTCCTCCCTCTCTCCTCCTTCCCTCCATCCCCTCTCCCCCTCTCATCCTCCACCTCTCCCCACCTCTCGCTCCTTCCCTTCACCTCCCCCTCCACCTTCTCCCTCTTCCCCTCCCCTCCCTCTCCTCCTTCTTCCACCTCCCTCCCCCTCTCTACCGTCCTATCTCCACCTCTCTTCCTCCCCCTCCTCCCCACCTCCCCTCACCCTCTCCCTCCTTCTCTCCCCCTCTCCCACCTTCCTTCTCCCCCTCTTCCCCTCCCCCTTCCCCCTCTCCCTCCAACTCCCCTCTCTCCCTTCCTCCCTTCCCCTTGCTCCCTTTCCCCTCCCCCTCTCCTCCTTCCTTCCAACTCCCCTCCCCCTCCCTCTTCCCCTCCCCTCCTCTCTCTCTACACATTACTTACCCTTCTCTCTCCCTCCCCCCTCTTCCCCTCCTCTCCCTCCCCTTCCCTCCTCCCCCCCCTCTCCCTCTTCCTTCCTTCCCCCTCTCTCCTCCTCTCCCCCTCTCTCTCCCCCCCCTCTCTCACTACACTTACTCACCATTTCTCTCTCTTCTCCCTCTCCCCTCCCCCCTCCCACGAGGATCCACGTGGTGAACCGATACTCCGGCATCGAGTCCCCCTCCCGCCCCCCTCCCCCCGGTGGGTCAGGGAGGCTGTACGGCATCGCGGCGGTTCCTCACGCTTGTCCTCCAGGTATGGGGTCAAAGGTCACTTCAAGTTGTCACGCTGGGTCATGCTAGGTCACGCTGGGGTTCCGTTGGATTGCGAGATGGGGTTGTTTTTATTAAATGATGATGATATGATGATGATGATGATGATAATGAATATAATGATAATAATAATATTGATAATAATGATAATCATAATGATAATTGTGATAGTGATAATAATGATAGCAATAGCAGTAAGAATGACAATCATGAAGAGAATAATAATAGTGATAGTGATAGTGTCATATCACAGAACCACTTATTCATATCGCAGAACCACTTGTCATATCACAGAACCACTTGTCATGTCACAGAACCACTTGTCATATCACATAACCACTTGTCATGTTACAGAACCACTTGTCATGTCACAGAACCACTTGTCATGTCACAGAACCACTTGTCATGTCACAGAACCACTTGTCATGTCACAGAACCACTTGTCATATCACAGAACCATTTAAGTGTCATATCACATAACCACTTAAGTGTCATATCATAGAACCACTCAAGTGTCATATCACAGAACCACTTAAGTGTCATATCACAGAACGACTTAAGTGTCATATCACAGAACGACTTAAGTGTCATATCACAGAACCACTAAAGTGTCATATCACATAACCACTTAAGTGTCATATCACATAACCACTTTTGTCATATCACAGAACCACTAAAGTGTCATATCACATAACCACTTAAGTGTCATATCACATAACCACTTAAGTGCCATATCATAGAACCACTTAAGTGTCATATCGCAGAACCTAAGAATCATAACCGATGTGTCATATCACAAAACAAGCAAAGTTTCATATCACAGAACGTGTCATATCACAGAACAACCGAGGTACCAAATCACAGAATGAATTAAGTGTCACATCACAAAACAAGCAAAGTGTCATATCACCAAACAAGCAAAGTGCCAAACCACAGAACGACCGCATTAACCACCCTTTCTCCCGTTCCCCAGTGTCGAACGTCTGCGGAGATAGTCGTGGCGGCTGTCCTACGACCCACCTGTGTCTACCCAATGGGCGTGGTGGGCGTACGTGTGCTTGTCCGACACACCCACCCACTGGCGATGACGACCAGTGTGTCGACTACAACTACTAAGTGTTTCCCAGGCTCCAGCTGTTGAAAGGGGCGACGTGTTAAACACCACTTGGGTGTTTATAAGTGTAGACACCACTTGGAACGAGAAAAAAAGGATTTATAAGTGTAGACACCACTTGGAACGAGAAAAAAGGAAATAAAAAAAAGAGAACATGAAATAACAGCTTCTTTTATACAGAGAACGGAGAGATTTGTTATTGAAATAACAGCTTCTTTTATACAGAGAACGGAGAGATTTGTTATTTGTATAGGTATACGTTGAGGAGAAGTATATTTGTATTGTGGATACTTACTGAATATGTTTTTTTTTTTTTTTTTTTTTTTTTTTTTTTTTTTTTTGAGGGGGTAAACTGAAAATTTTTTTTTTTCTGTTTTTTCTTTTCTTTTTTAGTTGGGGGATCTTGCAAATATTGATAATATGTTGAATAATTGAATAGTGAATCAATTATTTTCAGGACAAATGGACTATGTATACAGAGAGAAAGATTTATTGTTTAGGAAATATAATTTTATGATTTTAAATACGTCATACTGTTGTATTTAGCTCTTATGCATCAGGTTGTGAGTCAGAGAAACAATAATTGATAAAGGAAAACGTTAAAAATACATTTTTTTTTCTTTTTTGGTTAACGGATCAGTGTTAGTGCTGAGAATGCAATAGCTGATAATTCTACAATCTTTTATCTGTTCATCTTACTATTCGTGTTTTTTGAGAATACTAAGAAAGAACAATGGAACTTGGAATGATATATTTCACAGCTGAGAGTATGTTCATATTTCTTATTCATTTAAATAACAATAGACAATTATGAAGTCAAATCTAACACTGCCAAGATAGAACAATCCAATTACAAGAGAACACTGAACATTTCCCTTATAACAGATCAAAGACAATAGATTAAGAACAAAGATTTAGGACAAAAAGTTCTACATGTGTTCAATATGTATTAAAATGTTAATTTTAAGCCCCACTTTTGTGTTTTTTTGCCGTTTGTAGATAAAGGTTAGAATGGAAATGCATAATTCCACTATGAGAAATATATAATTGACCTTTCGACAATTACATCAGAATGAATGTCGAAAAACGATATATTTCGTTAGGGAATTAAATTTCTGATTTAAACCTTTTTGTTTTACATGTCTCTTTTTGCCGTATGTTTACACACTAAAAGTAGTGCAGTTCTTAATGTTAAATCTCGTGGGAACATGTCAATGCTGTTAAGTCTTCCTTTTATTGTTGTACTGTAAACTTAATTCTAAAAAATAACATTGCATTACTATTAGAGTACTGTACATGTATTGAAGTTGAAACTATGGACCTGTTTGCTAATAATTAAACAATTGTACAAGCTATTACGTGTATGTTTACAATCCACACTTTGCCTGCGTCCAGACCAGGGAATTTCCTTAACAAACAATCTCGATTATGGTGTGGGTTATTGATAAAAAATTATATGCTGCAAAATTACACGTTAACATCGATAATGAGTAAAAATGCCACGGGTAAAGGCGGGCATCTTGGCCAATAACCGGGCCAAGTACATAGCCACTTCTGGGCGAGGAGGAAGAGGAGAAAAAAGAAGAAAAAAAAAAGGAGAGGAGGTAGGACAGGAGGAGAGGTAGAGACAGGGGGAGACGAAGAAGTGAAAGAAGAGGGAGATGAAGAGAAGGAAGAGGGGGGAAAAAGGAGAGGGTAGGATAGGAGGGGAGGTAGAGAGGGGGACACGAAGAAGTGAAAGGAGATGGAGAAGAAGAGAAGGAAGAGGGAAAAAAGAAGAAAAAAAGGAGAGGAGGTAGGACAGGAGGAGAGGTACAGGGGAAGAAGAATGAAAGAGGTGGAGATGAAAGAAGGAAGAGGAGAAAAAAGAAGAAAAAAAAGGAGAGGAGGTAGGACAGGAGGAGAGGTACAAGGGGAAGACGTAGAAGTGAAAAGAGGTGGAGATGAAGAGAAGGAAGAGGAGAAAAAAGAAGAAAAAAAAGGAGAGGAGGTAGGACAGGAGGAGAGGTACAAGGGGAAGACGAAAAGTGAAAAAAGATGGAGATGAAGAGAAGGAAGAGGGAAAAAAGAGAAAAAAAAGAGAGGTTAGGACAGGAGGAGAGGTACAGGGGGAAGAAGAGGTGAAAGGAGAGAAGATGAGAGGAAAGGAGATAATAAGGGCATGGAAGAAGAACAGGGACAAGGGAAAAGAAAAAAGGGTTAGTAGAGAAAGAAAATGAGGAGGAGGAAGAGAAGAGACACCGAAGGGACAGACTGGACGAGGACGAAGAAGTGGAGAAGGAGGAAACGAAAGAGAAGAAGACAAGGAACACCGGAGGCACAAACAGGACGAGGAGGAGGAGGAGGAGACGAAGAAGGAAAAGAATGAGGAGAAGGAGGAAGGAGGAAGAAGAGCCCTGGAGGGACGAACAAGACGAAGAGAGGAGGATACGAAGGAGAAAAAGAATGAAGAGAAGGAGGAGGGACGAACAAGACGAAGAGGAAGAAGGAGAAGAACCCCGGAGGGCTGAACAAGACAAAGAGGAGAAGACGAAGGAGAAAAAGAATAAGGAGAAGGAGGAAGAAGAAAAATAGCCCCAGAGGGACGAACAAAACGAAGAGGAGAAGACGAAGGAGAAAAAAAAGGAGAAGGAGGAAAGAGAAGAATAGCCCCGGAGCGACGAACAAGAAGAGGAGGAGAACCAGAAGGAGGAGGTGGCAAGGAGAACCTCCATCACCGCGGGACGGCGTGTGTGTTTACAGGAGTCGAAAGGGGGTGTTCAGTAGCCCCTGTGAAGACTACCTTGACACTGGCCATTAAATCGAAGGAAGGAACGAACAGGAGTGGGAAGGGGGTGTTCAGTAGCCCCTGTGAAGACTACCTTGACACTGGCCATTAAATCGAAGGAAGGAACTAACAGGAGTGGAAAGGGGTGTTCAGTAGCCCTGTGAAGACTACCTTGACACTGGCCATTAAATCGAAGGAAGGAACTAACAGGAGTGGGAAGGGGGTGTTCAGTAGCCCCTGTGAAGACTACCTTGACATTGGCCATTAAATCGAAGGAAGGAACAGAGGAGTGGGAAGGGGTGTTCAGTAGCCCCTGTGAAGACTACCTTGACATTGTCCATTAAATCGAAGGAAGGAACAGAGGAGTCGAAAGGGGGTGTTCAGTAGCCCCTGTGAAGACTACCTTGACATTGTCCATTAAGTCGAAGGAAGGAACTAACAGGAGTGGGAAGGGGGTGTTCAGTAGCCCCTGTGAAGACTACCGTGACACTGGCCATTAAATCGAAGGAAGGAACAGAGGAATGGGAAGGGTGTTCCCCCTGTGAAACTACCTTGACATTGTCCATTAAATCGAAGGAACTAACAGGAGTGGGAAGGGGGTGTTCAGTAGCCCCTGTGAAGACTACCTTGACATTGGCCATTAAATCGAAGGAACTAACAGGAGTGGAAAGGGGGTGTTCAGTAGCCCCTGTGAAGACTACCTTGACACTGGCCATTAAATCGAAGGAAGGAACTAACAGGAGTGGGAAGGGGTGTTCAGTAGCCCCTGTGAAGACTACCTTGACACTGGCCATTAAATCGAAGGAAGGAACAGAGGAGTGGAAAGGGGGTGTTCAGTAGCCCCTGTGAAGACTACCTCGACACTGGCCATTAAATCGAAGGAAGGAACGAACAGGAGTGGGAAGGGGTGTTCAGTAGCCCCTGTGAAGACTACCTTGACATGGCCATTAAATCGAAGGAAGGAACAGAGGAGTGGAAAGGGGTGTTCAGTAGCCCCTGTGAAGACTACCTTGACACTGGCCATTAAATCGAAGGAAGGAACTAACAGGAGTGGAAGGGGTGTTCAGTAGCCCCTGTGAAGACTACCTTGACACTGGCCATT